GTCTCGCCCCTCTCAGACACTGCTCTCTTCACTAGCTGGGCTTCGGGAACCCTGGCCCTTCTCTCTCTGCTCTTCTGCTCCAGGCTATGGGTTTATCCACTTCTGTTCCAAGTCCTTTGTCTTCCAAGGCCTGATCTGTTCTTGGGTTCAGTGTTACTTACCCCAGCTCAGTGCTTATCAAAAGCCCTGCTGTAGGCCTGAAGCTAGGAGCTCCTCTCACAGTGGCACTCTCAGGGTAGACTTCCTGACCAGCTCAGGCCCTGGGCTTAAGTGGTTCAAGTCTGGCCCCCTTCTAGTTAGCTGACTCTCTAATCAGCCTCCCTCACCACCTGTAGGCTGCTCTCCAGTAGGGTGGCCACTGGTTCTGTTTTATACCAGACCATCTGTTTTTAAACCCTTTGTCCCCTGACCATTCCTGAATTGAAAAGGATTGAAAAAAGTCCTGTTTTTCAGTTCATCGGTGGAAATGTGTGTCAATACATTATCCTCGTGATTCTATTGGATGTTCCTAGAGGTAGGGCAGTGCATAGCCAGGAGAAGCAGGGTTCCCAGCTAGCCAGGGAAGGAGGGAGGAAGGTGGAAGATCCACAGGGCTGGTTGGTCTACACCTGTGCAAGAAGCTGTGGCTGCAGTGCATGTACAGGCACAGCAAGAGCAAAGGTGCTGTTGTATGCCTGAGCTCTCTGACCCTGGGCTGGGCACGTGCGGGTGGGTCCAGGCCCCGGGGGCAGCTGAGCTGCCAGGGACAGGCAGTTAGTCTTCACACATACTCCCCTGCACTGCCTTGGCACAAGGTAAAAGCTTGGAGAGCAGGCAGGTGGATCACTGCATTTATCTGCTGGAACACTAGTGGGACTGGAAATAGGCTCTTGTCAGGGAACAGCACAGTAAGTCCCTGGGGTGTCCTGCTGAGTGGGAAGTGGGGAAGGGGAGCTTTGGGCAGAGGGACCTCTGGGCTCCTGGGCACATGGGCCAGCTCATTAAGCCATTATTTCCCCTCCAGGACAGGCAAACCTGTCTCCTGAGGAAGAAAGGGAAGGTCCCACTGGGAAGATGGCTGCAAAGCCCACCAATCCCACTCAGCTCACCTCTGACCAGAATGTGGTCAGGGCAGATTCACAGGTGCCCAGTGTTTGTGCTGAATGCTGATAGTGGGGCAGGTGAGGTCCCTGTCCAGTGTGTGCCCGTGGGCTCCAAGTGGAGCTGGACTGGAGTGAGACCAGATCCCAGTGGGGGGGAGGGTGTGCTTGAGCCTTACACCTGCTATGCCACATTCTCTCAAGGCTGAACTGTCTGCAAAGAATGGCAGAGCTATAGAATATGTGCAACCACAATGCAGGGGAAGCAAGGTGAGGCTCCCTGCTGGCTGAACTGCAGAGGCTCACAAACTTGCTGCTGATCCTAGCACTTGCCACACATTCATTGGATTGGGGTTCATGGACCCAGTAGCAGTCTTTTTGTGGTCTTTTTGTGTTGGTCCCACCCCTTGCTGCTGATTGGTCAAAGGACTCAGTGGCCCCATTCCTCACTGCTGATTGGCGGAGGTGGCAGTGGCCCTGCCCCTCACTGCTGATTGGCCAAGGGGGGCAGTAGTCCCGCCCCTCACCAAGGGGATGTCCTGTATTGTGGGGATGCATCAGAGGCCACCTCACTCCCCAAGCCGTCTCTCCTCTTAAAGTGACAGGAGCACACCAAGCGCCTTGTCACAATGACACATAGCAAAGTTTACATAACCCATTTTTATCCACGCATATAATTCAAAGTTTTGGTACAAAGTATTAAATGCAAAATCTTTATATGATAATTTTTCTATCATTTTTGTTCTTCCCACACTCAAGGAGGTATTCGCATTTAGCACCATTAACTGGAAACCATACCTAACAAACTTCACTACTTTCACTTACTTTAGCCTTTGTAGCTGACAGTTGTAAAATACATGGCTCCTCTTATGATCAGAGACCAGGCAAACAGCTGCTTTTGAAACCTAGCCTGATACCAGTTTCAATCTAGTACAAAATTGCAACTGAAATGGGTACAAGAGCTGGCAACTTGAACTTCTCAAAGGTAAGAACGAGACACCTGAGACCAGTTATGATCCACCCCATCTTTTATTGTATTGCTATTGCTTTGATATATATTGATTTGGATGAATAGCATCAGCCTTGTCTCACATGTTTTTCTCTCTCCCTGTATTGCTATATAATGGCACACAAACAACAGGAGGAAAGATGCACCATATAAGAGAAAGTTATCGTGTATCAAGAGCTTAATTCTACAGCACCTCTTTGTGCCTAAGGGGCACCTACATAGCCACATCACTATAATTTTTAGCACTTATACACAATCCTGTGGCAGAACAGGATGTTTCTATATGCATACCTCCGGGAAGTAAAATAACAGAGATGGTGGAACCTTTGATCTTTTAGCCCAGCAGCCTAGCAATAAGGACGAGTACTGGGAGTGAGAGACTTGGCTTCTAGGCTCCCTCACCCAGAGGGAGTTTGAACACGTGTCTTTTACTTCCCAGAAAAGTGTTCAAATCATGAGGTCAGGGCTAGATATTGCTCAGAGCACTGTTCTTGAAACTATCCGTGGGACAGAATGGGTACAAAACAATCTACCCCACTGGGGCCATGGCTAGAATCCAGGGCACCCTCCCTCCATCTGGCTTCTTCTCTTCCCTCACCCCACATATCTTCCCCTCCTGACTACCCAAAGGACCACCCTCAAGAAGAGGCTTAGTGGTCATAGCACTTCAGTGATCCTTTTCTGCCACTCTTACTCCATGGACAAATTTCAGTCAGCTATGGATAAGGGCCAGCAGCTAGCTTGATACATGGTTGCATCATGTTCTACTCAGGTAGCTACAAATACTCAAATGAGCTTTGTGCCCAGCTCACTCCCCTTATTTCCTCCTTCTCCTGTGGAACTGCACACTAACTCACCACTTTGTACTTTTGCCCTCCGGTGTTTACATTTTTCTGACTTGATTGCTTTTCTTTCAAAATAACCTTTGAAAAAACTTTGAGCATCACTGCTAGGAAGAGGAGCCTAAAGAGTTAATGACTCTATATATTACACCTAGTTTACAAAAGGAAGCCTGTGCTAAGGTCTAGATGTAATTATGTGCCTGTCTTGGTCTGCTTTTTTTCCACATCTGCATAGATAAATGGCCATTTAGCAATTTAATGAGCCATTTACACACACACGTATTAAAGGAGGCTGGATCCAACCTTCCTCAAACTTTGGAGATGTTGTAAAATGTATTTGAATTCTGCAGCTCAGCAGGGAGATTCCTAATTCATGACACTTTTTCACAATATTGGCTCAATAGCACCACCACAAATGCAAACTGCTGCCAGAGACTGATAGTCTCAACTGAACAGTACTCTAGAAATAATAACTAGATGTTTGGGAAAGAGAGAAACAACGTACATTGGGACCCTACTGCCTTTTCTTGTACTAAGGATTTAAAAAAAAAATACAAAAATAAAGACTGCTCCAAAGCAATGATGATTCCACCAATAAACTAGTGATAGCCTAAGTATAATTAAAAAAAAATAAATTTCCCTATTGTAGACAAGGCCAAAAGACTCAAAAAAGATTAATCCCAGTTAATGCATGAACTAAAACAAGAATAGTGCTCTGGTTTATTTTGGTTTCAGGCACATTTTTTAAAACTGACTCGAGTAAATCCCTTTTATTGTATTCCTCTGTGCACATTATTACCTAGAAAAACATGAATCTTCTGCTTTAAGAAATTAATGAGTTTTATGTAGCTTTAAAGAAATTCACCTTGAGCCTCCTGGGAATCATTTACAAATCTTTCTATTTAGAAACGGTTTTAAAAATCAATACAAGAAATAGGATCCTATCACTGTCTTGAAAGGGCAAATAAATAAATGGAATACATTAGCGGCCCTTTGCAGTCTATCAGCGTGCAGCTACTTTTTAAATAAAGATTTTATTTATAGACTCTGTAACCTCACCCTGTCCTCTTCATAAAGGAAGACTTTCACTAAGGCCCACTGAGAATACTGTCAGTGTCAGAAATGAAGGATCTGTCTTTGTATGGGCACAAAGAAAGTATAATGTTCTCTTCCAGACTGTGTATCCATTTGAAAGCTGTCAGAAATGCCTCTTAGAACTTTTGAGATGAGCTTTGGCTTTCCAGTTTTATTTGTGAGCCAATTTAAACTAATTTTACTTACATGTGCATGGAGGGAATGAACTCTGAATTTACCTTCTATTATTATCAGCATGGAACAAGAGAACAATCACTCCATGTCATTGTCCCGTCTTTGTTAGTGCCCCCAAGGAAACTACTCTGCTCTGGCAAAAAATATTTGGCAGTTTTATGGGTGCAGCCAAGGGGCTGTATGTCTCCTGCAGTGGGGAGTTTGTACAGCTGCATTAATTTATCCCCAAAAATTCTGTGATTGCTGATGGACACTGAAAGGACAATCTAGCCAATAGCATCATGACTCTTATTGAAGCCATGTTGTGAGGTGAAGAAGGACCCAGCACAACTCGCACATCTTCACATCTGTTCACAGAACAAGCCCTCTGTTCACATCTTCAGTCTCCAGAGATCTGGGGGATCTTTTCCTCAGAACTGACAAGGAAAAGAGGGACAACTAGGAAAGGAGGGACAGTAGCACCAAGGAATTGTTCTCTTCTTCCTTTTGCACTCTTCTAAAATCTCTTTCAGCAGAGGCTTTAATAGTTGGCAGGAAACTCTGCAAGGGACATTTCAAGTATTTTGCTCCTTTGTACCTTCTGGTACAAGTCTCACAATAGGCAGGGGCAATTATAGCCCTAAACTCCAATTCTGCTGTACAGTGCGCTAACAGCGCTAACCACCAACTGACAGGAGGCCTGCACCTATGTCAGAGACATCAGCTGAGTCCTTTCATATTTTTTTTTGGCTTTCCCATGACCTCCTCTTGCCCCCTCGATCCAGGCAAACAAAGAGGTATTTTAAAAACAAAAAGTTTTACCGTACAAGATCCAATGGCTGGTATTTATACCACACACCCCAGGAGGCCCAGCACTCATAAAGTAGATGTCTGTGGTTTTCTGCTCCATGGGTTCTTATGGAATTTTTACTTCTGTAACTTCCCTAAAATACAAGTGTAAACATTGATTAGAAAAAAGAAATGAAAAGAAAAGAAAAAAACCAAAACAAAAAAACCCCCAGTAGTTACCAAGAAATCTCTTTAACTAGTAATGTATGGACTGAACAGCTCACACAAGAGCTAACATTAAAAAGACTCTTTCCTATAGCATTGCTGAATTTGTTCACTTTGTAACTGGCATTGCTCATATCAGAGGTTCTGAACCTGAGGGTGGTAAACACAACTCGATGAGACTACTTCAACAAACTGCTTTGGTCAAAAAATGATGATTCATAAAAACGGAAACTGCTTGTGATCAATCTTTTTTATTTTTATTTTTGGTTTAATTTTCTATAAATCTTTGGACATTTTGGGGGGAAAGAAGTTCTAAAAGCATAAACATTTCCCATTTTGGCATTTCTACTTACAAAAGGTAGGGGCTTTTTTGTCAGAATAACTTTTCTGACTTTACCTTACATGGTATTATGAGAAATAATTCAAACATGTAAGATGGTTACCACTAGCAACAGGTCTTAAGGAAGTTGCTCATATTGAGAGATATTTGTTGATACAGGTACTGGAATTGTTTCAAATGGAGAGATTGTGAAGATAGCAAAAAACTTGGATACTGAGAAAGATATTTTTTCCCCCCTTTTGGTACAAATGTTAAATGGCCATTTTACTCACTAATGTACTATTGAAAAGCACTCACGTGCTAGCAGGGTTTAGAAGAGCTTGTATAAAATAGAAGTGTGGTGTGCATAATGCTGTTTTAAAAGACTTTATTAGTCAATGGGAGAAGGTCTCAAGCTGTCAAATAATTTGGGGGGTGTGGGGGGGAGGAGCTTCAACATATAGCAGCTTCCTGTTGCTGACAAGGTACTGGCTCCTACTTGCCTTCATTTGCTAAACAGCATTAATCCTTTCTTAGGCTAGAGGAAGACATTATACATAAACTGGTTTAAGTGATCAGAAACTGGTTCAAATTTGTAACAGAACAGAAGTTCAGTGCACATAAACCATTTTCAAAATGGCTAAAAATGGTTTAAGATAGAGCTGGATGAACTGGCTTAGCTCCACTCCCACAAATGCAGGAGGATCAGTCCTTCCAGTCTGGGGCAAAGCCGGCTCCTGGCATTAGCCTACATGGGGGGGATCCCTGAGCCTCAGCAGGTGTTCCCCCACCCTGGGCAGGGTCCTTGGACCCCTGATGCTGGTGCAAAGTGGGGATTCCCCCTCCCACCTCTCAGCATGATCTGGCACCTGCTTAGCCCCACCCCTTCAGGTGCAGAGAGGTGGGGAACAGCCCCTCCAGCCCAGGACTGACATGGCGCCAGACTGCACTGAGGGGTGGGAGAGGGGAATTTCCTCCCTGCCCCAGCAGCAGGGCTTGGGGGACCCTGCCCAGGGCAAGGAACCCTTTGCTGAGGCACAGGGATAACCCCTATGTGGGCTGATGTGGGGCACTGGTTTGACCCAGGTTGGAAGTACTGTTCCCCCCAACTCCTCCCTACACCTGTGGGGGTGGAGCTAAGCTGGCATCGGACCATGCTGAGGGGTAGGAGGGGGGTACTCCCCCTCTGGCAGGGGTCAGGGGACCCTGCCCAGGCTGGGGGAACCTCTGCTGAGGCATTGGGATCCCTCCACATGGGTTGATGCCTGGCACTGGCTGAGCCTTGGACTGGAGAAACTGTTCCCCCTCCCTCCCCCCGCTTAGGGGGGAACAGCAGCAGTTTGGAGAGCATGTGCTAGGCAGCCAATCAGGGATGGGCACTGCTTGGCTGCATTTGGGTGCCTTCAGTAGTGGTGGCAGGCTGGGAGGTGTGCTCTAGCACTTCCCAGCTTCTGGTCTGGGCCACTGCTGGCATCTGGCTGCCTTTCTGGATTCAGAAGTGAATGCAGTTCACTTCATTATCAGTTCATTCTATACAGCTTAGAGAAACCAGCAAAGATTGCATTGATTCAGCCTCAGGCTTTTTGATTGTCTCTGCTTAGCCTTACTGTTGCATTTCCTTAAAACAGTTCATATAATTGCTGCAGGCCTTACCAATTAGAGCTGTGATTACAAGTGATGGCTCCATGTGATCACAAATGGAAGGGAGGTGATGTCCTCAACCACACTCTTTTAGGATGTGTTGCACACCATGAAAACCCCTGAGAGCTGTGGTAATAGTTATATTCTAATCTTCTACTGCACAATTAATAGCTGCCCATGGAGCAGCAGTAAATGAGTTTCAAATGAAGAGTTTTCAGGAAGAGGCATCAGAGTTTTTAATGAGTTAGAGAAAAAAAAAGAAAAGAAAAGAAAAGGCACTCAATTTTCTTTTCTGGCCATCAGTGAGAGTTAGGAGTAACTCAGCACTGAAGCCAATGGCACTATAGTAGTGTAAAATTAGTTTGAGCTGAGAAACAAGCAAAAAGACTTTAATGTTAATTATTATTTAAAAGTAATTACAAGCCACCAAAAAAACCAAAGGTGAGAAAGTACCTCGTGAAGAGGAAATGCAGCTTCATAGGAGCCATTACTAAGCAATCGATTCAGACCTAAAAATAAAAAATATTAATTTAACTATAAGCAGGATTTTTATCCACGCATTATTATTAGGCTAAACATGTTGTCATGATAAGACTGCTTAAGTGAAGTTCATAGTGCATGGACAATGAAAAATGTAAGTAACAAGAGATTTTTATGGGTTTGAAATTACCATGATCTAACACAAGTAAAGGACAAAAATAACAATCCTGGATTTGCTATCATACTTCATAATGTACAATTAGTTATGAATTGACTTTAGAGTCATATACTAAATTCATCCTCAGTTTAACTGCAGTGAAGTCAATAAAGCCACACCAGCCACACTGAAGTTAAACCCACACATTTTGATCTTATAATTAAAAACTAAAACTTTGGGGAAGAAATAGTTGGAAACTGCATTTATAGAAGATGAAACATTTCTTGACAGCCTAGAAATTTCAGAAAAAGCCTCTGAACTTTTGTACCACAGTCTTGCAAAACAGCACAAAGCCTTAATTCCCATATGAAAATAACGTTGTTACATCTCTTCGGTTTAATGCTCTTGAAAGCTGCTAGACTGACAGCCCTGGTGACTGAAGCCATCTATTGACAGAACAGGAACAAGACAGATTGTAGCAGTGTGAGACCCAACAATATACCCTCAACCAAAGGGACACTACTAAGGGTCAAAAGGTAGTTCGTCCCCTTCCCTACCCATTCAGGTTTTGGCCCCTCTACTGAGACTGACAGGGGAAGTCATTAGTACCAGATTTTGTGTGTAAACCTAGACACTTGGAAACATACTAGAAAACCATTGAACAGCTACCAGAAAATTAGTAGTTAACTCTAGTCAATAGTAACCAAGATACTTCAGACAAAAGACTCTAAACTCCATTCCTAATGAGCTGAGGGAAACTTAAGAGTTTTAGGGATACACCAATGAAAAGGGGTTTAATTTGTCATAAATATCTTTTGCATTGGCAGGAAATCCTATGAGTCAAATCTCAGCTCTGGATGTGTCTATTGTATGAAATGTAGAGCTTTATATCCTGGTGTGGTTCCTCCCAGCCCAGAGTTTATGTGGAAGATAGTTTGGTAATACAGGGATATAGCCTGAAAAATGACATGCTTGGAAAGACCAACTGCTGAAGCTTCCTTAGCCTGATGAAGGGTTTTTGAACACGAAAGCTTGCTTAATAACTTTTCTCCAACTATTTGGTTGGTCTAATAAAAGATATCAAATTCACCCAAGGAACCTTGTCTGCCTATGCTTGGAAAGAGGCAGATGAGAGGACAACTGCATGAAGCACATGCCAATCTCTACCAACTCTCATTGCTCAGGGGTAGAATCTGTTATTCCAGTCTGGGTGCTGATAATGACAGCAAGGCCGCAATGAGAATACAACCCCAGCAAGGCATCTCCAATTAATAGTTAGGAAATAAGAGTGCTCAGCCAGATGCACTGGAATAAAGAACATTCTTCTACTTGACAATCAGATAAGGGGAGCAGAGCAGAGATCTCTTCCTAACCAATACCCATGCAGAGACACTGTTCTTGAAAAGGAAATGTTGGAGAACTCAATCCCAATCTTCCTCTCCCTCTCCCACTATGGAGTTTAAATAGCTGGTGACAGTAACCTCTGTGATCTCAGCATGGGAAGAAGGTACAAGAGATTCAGGTTGGAATTCAGCATCCCTCTCATAGGTCCATTATTGAGGTCTAACTCTAATGAGCAAGTTCTCCTTTTGCAATGGGCCAACACCTCTATCCAGTGTCATCAATCAATACCTCTTGTTTACCTTATATCAGACTCCTACTACAAAAGTAAATTTTCTGGGGTAACATACAGATTCATTCATGAAAAAGCAGCCTGATATTCCACTGCAATACCTTTGAAATGATTGTGCATGTCAATAAAACCCACAACCCTAGGAATGTGCAGGGTATGACCCCAGCAAGGAGTCAGAAACAAAACATCATACTCCTACAAACAACAAGCATGCCCAGATTTCATTGACATTCACACCATATTAAAAACCACTTTGTTTACCACTTACCAATTTTGTTTTTTCCCTCTTCATATTTCACTCTTTGTAAAATATGATGCACAATTCTACTTCTTGTAGCATTATTGAAGAAAGTGTCTTTGTTGTGTATGATGAAACTATATAAAATACAAACAAGGTTCTCTCATGAAAAAATGGTGTAATATAAAATAAATGTAAAGTTCCATTTAACTTAGATGGTTCATTGAAAACCTACAGTCTGTGAAAAAAATACAAGGAATGTGAAAGAAAGAAATCTGATTCAGCAAAGCAGAGAATATCTGCTCAGATGGGAGTACTACAAACCAAAGCTAGCATGAAGAAGTTGTAGAGGCCTGTGTTATTTAGTCACTCACTTTCATAAACATTACATTTGAATTAATGTTTTAAAAATAAAAAAAAAATACTATACAAACATTTCCAAAGAAATGAGAATAAAGGTGATTTATAGATTCAGTGATTGATAAGTTCAGTTCAGTGACTGATACATTCAGACCTGATTTCCACTTTAGATTTAATACCATTTCATTATTAGGATTTAGATGGAAAGATCCATTTAATCAAAAATGATTCTCTTAACCATGTAAATATGGAAAATGAAAACAAGTATAAATAGTGTACATAATACAGTGAAATATTATGTGCTATATACAATTCATCCACTAAGCTGAAATGAATGATAATAGTAATTTTCAGGAATTCTCCTTGAAATTAAATACCTTTTAAAATCAATAGCACAGTTGGTTTATAACAAACCGAGAAAACTAAGTGAAAGACTATCATCAAATGGCACTAGGTTTACTAAATAGATTGCTATTTCATATATGGAATATATTTTTTAACAATGTTAATACTGCAGGTGAATGGAGTATTTTAACATGAAGAGAGTCACAGGTTACTGTAGGCAGATTTTCAAGATACTGATCTGCAGGGGTAAAGTTGGAAATCAACTCAAAAGACCCATGTGCTCTGTTGAAGAAAGCAAGGCATTTAAGGCAGATTTTTAGAAAAGGTATTTTGGCAGTAAAGATGCAGAGACGTGCCTAGGGTTCAGTTTTTCAACCCTAAGCTCCTAACTGCATTTTGAGGACATAAAATAACTTTCAAAATCTGGTTCTTGCAGCCTGGTCAAAATCAACAGAAAGACTTCCATTTGTCAAGGTGCTTTAGATGGACTCAAATGTGTAAAACAAGGAGGTGACTAAGTTTTTGAACATTTAATGGGTTTCTTTTTTCATTTCTTTCATGTGCTGACTTCCCTTCACCTGCTGGGTAGTAGTAAACATTTTTTGACTCTGGAAATAACTTTTGAAATCTATGGACACAGTAATTTGTACTCAGATTTAACCTCAAACTCTTACATTGCAAGGTACATTCCTTGGCTGGGAAACTAGCAAAACTGACCCACATTACACCAAGAATGCTTGTTCACTTTCCTTTCAGGTATAAAATTATTTGCATTTTTTACTGTGAATGCATATAATATTAAAATTATAGCTTGTTCTTAAATGGATGTGCAGCCACACTAAAAACAGCTTGATATTTAATCAATTCTAAGTCACGTGACCACAACTATGCAACATTAAGATGTATAAAAGATGCAGAACTGAATACTGCAATCAGTACTCATAGTAGAGATGATATCTTTTATTAGACCAACAAGATTTTTGCAAAAAAAATTCTTTACTTAACTGAATACTGGTGCAATATTTAAAAGGAACAGAACACTTAATTGTTCCAAGGGATACTTCAATTGCTTGCATTTATTTTTAAATTTAGCAGCAGTATATTAAAATTATTGATCTGCATAGTTCAAAGAGAGGTTAGACAAGCTTTCACCTGAAAACTTGATGAAAGGCACTTTGTGCCCAAAAGTTTAACATCTTTCTTAACTATACAGTTGGTCCAATAAAAGATATCACCAATAAACCTTGTTTCTCATATAACTTCATTACAACTTTCCTTGGAAAAAAAGTACCAGTATTGCCTGTAAGATCAAGATAATAGATTTGAGTTTTGTGGGGATGTTCTTTGGCTTTTCAATAATATAAAATAATGTTATTTCTATTGTTTCTCACATATTTTCTGGACCATCATGGCTACAACACTCCGATCCTACTACACCAAAGAAGTTAATGAGATTACATATGAGATTAAATGTTCCAGAATCCTTAATTAAAGCTCATTTTCAAAAATGTCATACAGCTGAAATATATTGCTCTTATATTTGTTACTTTGTGTGGCATGAAAACCCAGTGGAGGTTAATTGCTCTGAAATGATGTTGGTAGCTTTCTTAATTGTGTTCTGAACAGGAGCTTTCAAACTGTCTTGCCTTGGATACCAAACCAGAATACAGGCAATACAGCCGTCATCCAAGAATGGCCTCAGAGTAATGTGACCATAACTAGGAACAAACTGCCCAATTAATTCCTTTTGATATGTTCTGTTTTTTGAATTACGCTTCATAATTAAAGTACTTCAGGGCCAAATTCTGTTCTGATACATAGGTCAGCAACTCTAATTTGAATCAACAGAAATTTTGTGTATATCTCTAGGAGTAAAATGTGGCCCTTTTAACATTGGTTTATTTTTAACTCTACTTGGGGATGGAACAGGATATTTTCTATTTAATGCTGAGACAACAATTTTAAAATCCAACACTCCATGATCTGGTTATTAGGCTAATATGCATACCCAAGCCTTTCTTTGGTAGAATTCTCCTAGCATTCAGGTACTAGGTGTCTATCCTAAACCTCTGGTACTAAACAGTAGTATCTAAATGCATAGCCATTGTAGGTTAGGTCATATACCATGGAACAGAAGGCCTGAACTTAAGACGGACTGAACACCCATAACTTCCATGAAAGGCAATAGAAGTTGTGGGCACTCCACTCCCATTCATAGCTAGAAAGCACCATAATTAAGGTAAATGTGTATTAACATGGCAAGATTTTCCTTAGTATGGTTCAAGAGGAAAAAAACAGCAAAGCAGAATACATTTGGATGAAGATGAAAGGTGAAAGATGAAGCAATGATATAATAGTGGGGATTTATTATGGGCCACCAAATCAGGAAGGAGTTATATGAGACATTCTTCAAGGTGATAAATCTATCCAAAACCTATGGGATGGTATGATGTGAGACTTCAATTTTCCAGACACCTGCTGAAAGAACTATATAGCCAAACATAAAATGTCAAGCCAGTTCTTAACTTGAGTGGAGGACAACTTTCTGTTCCAGAGGTCTGAGGATACAACTAAGAGATCATTTATCTTGGATCCTGTCCTCACCAATAGGGAGGACATGAAGGTGATGGGCAACTTGGAAGGGTGTGATCATGATATGATAGAATCCCAGATCCTGAGACAGGGAAAACATGAGGTCAAGCAAAAATAGGATGCTTGATTTAAAAAAGTTGGATTTCATCTGACTCAAGGAATCAATAGGCAGGGTGCCATGGGAAAACAGACTAAAGGATAAAATGATGAACTTCATGCTGGGGTACTGAAAGAACTGCCAGGAGAGATTCTAGAGTCCTTAACAATGATCTTCATGAAGTCTTGGGAGACAGGTAAGGTACCACAGGACTGGAAAATAGCCAACATAGGGCCCCTCTTTAAAAAGGCCAAAAGGAGAACCTGGGGAACTACAGTTAGTCTCACCTCAATACTTGCAAACTTACTGGTGCATATCTTAAGGAAGGCAATTTGTAAACATTTGGAGGAGGAAAGGTTGATCACAAGCAGCCAGCATGGATTTACTAATAAAAAGTCATTTCAAACAAAGTTGTTCTCCTTCTTTGACATTGGCGATGCGTAGGGGGTGCACGCAGGTGCACGTGCACCCTCTGCATGTGGTGGCACACCTCCTATGAAAAGGCGGCATCTGCGAGTGGTCACCAACCGCTGGTCGGCGCTTGCCACCCACCCTCCTCCCATTGCCGACAGCGCCGGTGGTGTCTGCAGGAGCTCCCCACTTACTGCTGCTGCACTCCTGCTGTTGCTGCCGCGCTCCTGCCACTGCCAATGCTGCTGTGTCCCACCAGCTGCTGGGGGCACACATCATTCATGTTCTTTGACAAAGTAATTATTTGGTTGAATGAAGGAAATACTGAGGATATAAGTGTATCTGGACCTCAGCAAGGCTTTTGGCAAGGTCCTACATGACCTTCTCATAAACAACTTGGAGAAATGTGGGCTGGGCAAAACAACTGTAAGATGGAAAGACAACTGGCTCAATAGCTAGAACCAAAGGGTAATTATTAATGGATCCATGTCAGAATGGCAGGTGGTTTTGAGTGGAGTCCCACAGGGATCTATCCTGCACCCAATGCAGTTTGCATTTATTAATGATTTGGATGCTGGCATAGAAAGCTTCCTGAGCAACTTTTTAGACAACATGAAACTAGAATGGAATCTGAACACAAAGAATGGTAGTGCAATTCAGAAAGATCTTGACTAATTGGAAAACTGGTCTGAAGCTAACAGGATGAAGTTGCATGCTGACAAATGCAAGGTGCTACACCTTGGGAAGGATAATCAAAAATACAAATATAAAATGAGTGACACCTGGTTGGATGGTCACACTGTGGAGAAGGATCCAGGAGTCTTGGTAGATCACAGACTTAATATATATCTGCAGTGTGATACAGCCACACAAAAGGCAAATGTTGTTTTGGGATGCGTCAACAGAAGCATTAGGTGCAAGACACAGGAGGTAACAGTGATAGATTTTTGGCACTGGACAGGCCTCATCTAGCATACTGTGTGTAGTTTTGGGTTCCACGGTTTAAAAGGATGTGGAGAAGTTAGACTCTAAGGTCGCGTCCATGTATGCAAGCACGTGCGCTTGCAGCAGCTCAAATAGAAGCGGTGCAAATTTGAGCCAGGGCTTTTTGCCTCAGTGCATGTGCACAGACATGCACTTTGTTGTGGAGCAAACTGTGCTACTTAGGGCAAAATAACCCTGCCTGGCTCCTCCCGGATCTGCAGGCAGGTGGAGCTAGAGCCCGGGGCCAGCACCTGTACTGTCCCCAACAGTATAAAAAGCTGCCCTGTCTTGGCCCCAGCAGTATAAAAAGCCACCATGGCAAGTAGCTCAGGGGTACTAGCCTTCAGG